GCTTTGCAGAGGTAGTATAATATACTTGTTTGGTTGTTTACGTATCCGGATGTTTAAAAAGCGTCGCCGTATAATCTGAATGGTATTGGGACCTGGCGCCCCATTGCTCGGGTACTTGAGAGTATAAAAGTGTGCAGGGATTAGGTCTACGTCTTGCGCGGGCTAAGCTCGTAGAGATTACAAACACACCGCTTCCCGGAGCACACAGTTTCTATTGAGCTTATACGGAGCTTGGACGTACAAACGCAAAGCCAAACAGCTTTGATCCCTAAACCCGACACCCAGAGTCCAGAGTCATGACAAGACAAGGCTTATCATACCAAAGCTTCTAAGAATCCACCAAATTGTGCAACAATCCATCTTAACCCGATTGTTTAAGCTTTTAAAATGCCCGAAACCCAAACATCAAACCTGGATCTCCCTTAAACGCTATAGCCCGCGGTAAGTAGTAGAAAAACTAGGGTTTAAGGCTTAGGGTTTAGGGTATAGTTCCTCCTTAGTAGATAGAATATGGGGTATATGGGGATCTTAGTATTATATTGGGCAATTCCATATTGTATCTACTTAAGGGGATTACAAACTCTAAACGCAAAAGGTCAAGGTTTAGGGTTGAAAGTTCAGGTTTTAGGCGAGCGCACCTTGAATTTTTGGCTTCCTGTGGAGTGTTGGGGACATGGGTTTAGAGTTTAGGGTTTAGGGAGGCCCCGTGATTTTCCAGTTGGAACAACTACTGGTGGTCAGTACCGATTGGGGGAGGGGCTCCCTGTAGTAGTGCCCATACAATCCCCCATTGTGCTCTTCCTTCATTCCCTGCCAAGTACTGGGAAGTATACATCCTAAACTCCAAACCTTGAAACCCCAAACCCTGTATGTGTCCATGAGCCCCATACATCAACATGACACCTTCAAACGGCCTTCCACGGACACAAAAACACTCTGAGGTCCAGGTTCACGTAAGCCTGGCACTTAACATCCAGTTTTACTATATCTCCAAAAACTACATCACTGGGCTGCAACTGCGGTTGCTCAGTGTGTGTCTCTACCACATTGACCCTGGACCTCCAATGAAGCTCCGAAGCCCCCAAACTCCCCACCCTAATCCCTAAACTTACTGGGTCTAGTAAGGATTAGGAAAACATTTTTATGGGGACTACGTGAGGATTATATTCCTGTACTCCCTTTTGACCACAAGTAAGTACACCCAAATCCCTAGTCCATAAGAAAAGGCATGAAAACCCTCTGCCCTAATCCCCAAACCCCAGCTCAGGTGTGGACAACACGACAATGAGTTGGGGACTGGAGGCGCGGGTGCCGTACTTGGACCACAAACTCGTTGAGGCGTTTGCACCGGGTTGCTTTGGTTCAGGGGACAACATAGGGATTACATACGAGTATACTTTTTGGGACACTCTGCTAAGTGGTTAGGTAACCAACTCATCAAGAGTTACAAGAGGGTTACAGTATAATGTATCGCAAATTGAATTTAGAATATGGTTGGTAAGGGGATTAGAATATCACATGACATTTTGTTACCTGACTTCAGGGTCCCTCAAATTATAGTTTCAAGGGGGGCAGTGTCCTAGGAAGGGAAAACCATACGGCAAAGAATATGGAACATGAACATGACATGAAAACTGTGACTAAGCCCGGGTTTCTAAGGTCTGTATATTGTAGGCACTTCGGGGTAAATTTGTTTGGGACAGGATTTCACTAGGGACTTGCGGTGTAGGGTTTCGGGATGCAGGTTTAGGCATCAGAGGACTTCGGTAACGCAACCCCGCTATGAGGACCCCATGAGAGCCATATGACAACTATAGGGTCGCGAGTGATGACGGGGTTTTATACAATCGAACTTGTGCCCCACGAGCCGCATGGGTGGCAAACAACAGCCCTTGTTGCTTCGAGATGCTGGGTAGTCTAACTAGGCTTTAGGGCTCATCTATCAATCCCTGGGAAGGTATATGCAACAGTAACAATATTTTTAGTAATGATAGTAAAAATAATAGGGCCCTGACCCCGACTCATCCCTGAGGTCCCTGTGCAGCCCCCCCTACTGTCCAGAGCATTCGCCTCAAGGGCAGCTATGGATAACGAATTCTCAAGTGTGGAAAGTGTGGACCTGGAAAGGTTTCGGAATATAGTATAGTTGAAGTATGGAGGGGGTTTCACATATCCCGAGCGCAAAATACAGCCCACTATAGCCACTGTGTCTTATACGGCTCCCTGAGAGGGCTGCCCTAAACCCTAAACCCTAAACCCTTGTATTATCCATTTAGGTGCTCAGAATCTTGGGGCATTGCATCCGTAAACCCTCAGATGCGTAAGCTCCCCAGAAACAAGGGTAAAATTTGTCCTAAACCCTAAACCTCTCCAAAGAGGCCTTAGAAAGACCAGCACTGAATCCTACCCGGAGGGCCAGTAGCCCATAATTATAGTTTAGGCTTTGGGGTTTAGGGTTCCGAGTTTTGGGGTTTAGGGTCTCCCTGATCCTTAAACTGGAATCCCTAAACCTAAGCCCCAAGGCTCAAAATTACCTGAAGGCCCTATATTGTGCCGAATTTGGCGACAAATTCCTAAACTGTAAACTGTAAACCTTCAAATATGAATCCTTAGAGACTTCCGAGAGCTGTACAACTTTTAGCGATAGGGGAAACCTTCATCGTACACTCCCTGACTCGTGGAAGGCTCTGGAGCAGGAGCATGGCTGGTTGACTCCAAATCGCCCCAGCAATCTTTAAAAACAGCCAAGTGTACCTCTGCTCATCTACTTGAGCAGGTCCTCGATCCTGCTCGACCTTGCAATCTCGACTTACATGTTTCACGCCGGCTCCCTTCAATTACACTAGCCGTCACAAAGATGATGTCGGCTGGAGCCATGGATTTGAAGGAAAACGATTCTGCATGGAATGGTTTCAAATAGTCAACTAGTATGGTTGTATGTCGGTATGGTTTTCAAAATTATTTTGGATAGTAGATGGAATGTGAAAGAATCTTGCCAATACGAAAATTATCTGGACCACATTTTCTTTCAGAGATTATATCTATGAAGGGCAGTCGAGATTCGCTCCTGCATCATGCCTTTTGATCTACATGAGCCATAATCTTAACTCCTAGTTCCCCCTTAATAAAGCCTATAAGACTCCCCTATATAATCCCTTATATAACCCCTTAACTCCTAGTTCCCCCCTTAATAACCCCTATAATAGTCCCCTATATAATCCCCTATATAACCCAATTTAAGGAGTTGTAGTTCACATGCCGGACGTCCACGGGCGGCCCCATCTTCTGCATCCTATGAGGCTGAGTGGTAGGCAACAAAAGAAGGTTTGCGCAGACTTTCTTGAGGTTTTAGGGTTTAGGATTCAGGGTTTAGGGTTTAGGGTTTAGGATTTTGTCAGGACCAGCTGTTCTGTCTAGACCGTGTAAGTGTGTTGCTTTTTGCCAAGATACTGCCCATCTTTCTTCCATTGTTGCATTATTTGTTTTTCAAAGCTACATTGCTTCCGGTTTGATTCTTATTTTCTTTCCTGGGACGTTTATGCTTTTCGGACCCCCCCCCCTCTATTTGTCACTCCCGCAGCCGTCAACCATAAAGAAAGCATGGCTTGCGCAAGTGTATGCTATGGCAAAACTACTTCCGATTCATACCCGTGCTTATACGTGGAACTTGGTAGCAATGTGACATTGTCGCGTTCATGCCCACCATGAGTGGAGGTTGTTTGCAATATGACATTGTTGTGTGAATGTTATCAGGTTTCCCCACACCCTAACTTTTCGGCTTGTGCTGTGATGCGTTTGTAAATAATGTACATCATCCTAAGATTTCCCGTTTAAGCTGGCGCTGTGGCCTTTCAAACGTGTGTAGTAAAAACATGCATTTGCCACTGAAGCCATGGATGCTTTGAATGAGCAGTCCTCTGAAATACGGCTGACAAGCTTTGCGGTTGTAGCTGCTGGGCTGCAAGATGGGTGGACGCTTGGACGGTTCGCAGCACAGTGAGTTAAGGTCGAGAATCCAAGCGATTGGAATAATTTGGACAGAATTCTCAAAGCATGTGGGGTCTTCAATGTCGTGGACATTCGCTTCATCCGAGAGACGACGAAGCCACAGGATTGGGCACGGACCCGTTCTTTGGGTTTTCTTGTTTTTAAGCTAGGGGGTACGGATTTGGGGTCGAATCAAAATTCAATCCAAGCTTCCTGCTGGCAGGATCCTCGATGTCAGAAATGTTTGGATTTGGGCCAGCGTCCAGATGGGAGTGGTTACCGGATCTGGCCGAGCACGGCGCTGTGTTCGCAGGATGCATCGAATCAGAAGCTGTTGTTCATTTCGTTGATGAGCTGAAGTACCGAGACTCAATTGTCTTTAAAGTCCCGAAACGCAACGTTTGCAGCGAATGTTTACAAGCATGGTGCATAGCACATTCTCACAACAATAGTATGTGCATTGCCTCGACAAATTCAGACACCGAATGCACGACACACTCACACGTGAGCATCACGTTAAAGTGATGTGTGAGGAGAGCTGCTCATGTTTTAGGCATTTTGACAAAGTCATATACATGTTTGCAACTACCGTGCGCTTCCGTTGTTTGAAAGAATCCCCCACGGGAGTCCTTGCATGTGACTCTTCGAGTCACTACTACCCACTAACACCCGAGACAGTAAACCCTAAACCCTAAACATCCCTCTGAGTATACACACAAGAATTGGTCTCCGCCCTTTGAGGAGCTGATTGCTGAAGGTTTCCTCTCCATGGCAACAGCATTGGATGAGTCCAGTGCAGGGGCCTTGGAGATCGGAGGCTTCCATGAGCTGTGGTCTAACATCCTTAAAGGGGGGTTATATAGGGAATTATATAGGGGATTATTATAGGGCTTATTAAGGGGGATACTAGGAGTTTAGACTAAGGCTCGCATGAGATCCTGTCTTAGGATTCAGGACTGTTGGCTGGATTGTTCTTCTGGAGCTCTCTTCTGGTAAAGTCGAGATTCTATTCATTATATATTATATATATGTAAATATACAGTATATATTCGCATATATACATATATATATATATATGGAGGTAGAAGGGGGGAAGCCAAACTTCGGCAAAGTAATAAGTTACGCGTCCATTTTCCGGTCGCTCCAAATGAGCATCTTAGATCATCTTTGCGGTTGTCCGCAAGACTCTTACCTTCAAAATGCCTTAACCGAAAAAAAGTATCCCTAAATCCTAAACCCTTAACCCTTGACCCCAAAAATAGACCTTAATTATTAATTCCTAAACCCTTAACCACAAACATGAAGCCCTAAAGCCTAGACCCGTAACCCCAAATGTTACACCCTAAATCTTAAACCTTAAGCCCAGGTGAAGGTGTTTGCAACTTAGGAGCATGTGCATGCCTGCGAGTTTCCATGGTATATGGTCTGAGGGTTAATCAGGATTATGGTTTAGGGTTTAGGGTTTAGCGTTCAGGGTTAGTGAGTGTAATTTTCCCAACTGGAAAAAGCACATGGACAATCAGATGGAACCTGGGATCTTTGTGCTTTCAACCCACAATCATTGGTTCGCGTACTACCGCCCTAGGTTGCCCCTCACATGAGGTTGTGTGAGGGCCATCAGGGCTAACTGGGTATGGGGGGTGATTAGGCAAACCCAGAATTATGTCGCATCCCAACTCTGAAATCAAGATTTTACAACAGCAATGCCACAGTCAGGGGGTCCACGCTTTAGCCCCAAGGAGTTCCAGCCCAGGGGTCCCACATATTCACAGAAATCTCTACATACCCAGGTATCTGGGAGGTCTAGGAAGGAGACAGTCAGTAACATGTCACTTTAGCAAGCACGAGGTGAACCTCTACGACCTGACTTTCGCAAAAGGTCAGAAGGTCGCCCTCTGGTTTGGCCAGGAGTTGCACAAGCGGCTAAGGTTTACGGTTTAGGGTTTAGGGTTTCGGGTCAGGATTTCTTGTTTAGGGTTTTAAGGGTATGTTGATTTTTGTTGCTACGTTCATTACTCTTTACAGTGATGTCTTACGTGCAGCAGCAAGCTGATATGCGGAATGGTCCTTCTATGTCGAGCAGTATGCTACCAGATGAGCTATAGTCAAAACTCCTTAAAGGGGGGGGTTATATTGGGGAGTATGTAGGGGAGCATGATAGGGCTTCTTAAGGGGGATACTAGAAGTCTCGACTATAGCTCGGATAGCTTCTCTTCGTGTATCAGTGTCAGAGTTTGCAAAGATCCCCAGCTTTCCCTTGTCGCAAGAGCAGGGGCCCGAAGGTAGATCCCAAAATATTCTAATCCTCAGTATAGGGACCCCAAGCATTGTACCCCTCAGTTTGGAAACCGCGATAACCTAAACCCTAAATCTTGAACCCTAAACCTGAAACCTTGAACCCTAAACCCTTCCCTGAACCTTAAACCTTTAACCATTTCCAAGGAGGAAAAAGGTCCCCCAAAAAAGCCCTAAACCATGTCAGATCTTCGACTTAAGAGGAAAAGCATGGCCTGACCGATGAGGCACTTCGAGCAGCTACCAAGCCTGGGTCCCAAAAACTCACTGGTTCTTAGTAGGGAGTAAGGGGACCATATAGTCCCCCTTAAGTAGATAGAATATGGCTTTGGGTATATGATTATAATTAGATATGTACATCATATTCTATCTACTTAAAGGGGACTATAGGGATTGTTTTCCCTTACTCTCTACTAAGAACCAGCAAGAAAGCCTACGACTAGAAACTCGCAATGGGTGGGTAGTTGGAAGGTGGGCGGCATCGGTTTAGGGTTTAGGGTTTAGGGATTAGGGTTTAGGGTTTAGGGTGTAGGGTTTCAGAAGAAGGTTTAGAGGTCTTATGATAGCTTTGCGGGAGAAGTTCGGAAAAGATTAGGAAATGCTGTCCCAACGACTACCCACCTGGAATGGTTTTCTAGCCACGGTGTTGAGTCATCCAAGCTCCTGCAAGTTTCAGGAAGGTCTACATCCCGATGTCTGGCATGGTACTTGACCCAGACAGGCTTGCGCAGTTGTGAGACCTGCTTGGAGGTCCATTGTACTTATAACCTACTTAGTAACTGTAGTTATAACCCAAATATAAATTCCATAACTACAGTTACCCTAGATATAATTGGGTTATAACTACAGTTACTAAGTAGGTTATAAGTACCATGGACCTCCAAGTGAGCATTAAACAAGGAGTTGGCAATGGCTTATGGCCTCTCATGTATACATAGTATGTGTAAGATGTGGATATTTCCAAGCAATGGGGCTCACCCTCATGTACCTCCCAGCGCTGTAATCCTTAGGACCCCACATTTTAGGAAGCCCCCGCGCATAGAACTGCTTCCCCCTCATAGTCAACACTTCCTCATCCTTTATATTAACAATGGTCCCCAACACAGGTGGTAAGCATTTAAAAGTGCGGGGTCGGGTGGCGGGGTGTTCCCACACCCCCAACCTGTAAACCCGAGACCCTAGCCCCGTACGCGTGCCCATTCTCATACTAGTTTTTCTAATATTACTATCATTACTCTTATCACTCTAATTTCTATTATTACTATCATTACTATTTCAAAGGTGCAGAGCCTGAATGTGGCCGCATCTTTGGCAATTATCCTTGCCGAAGTGCGGAGACCCAGGGCTGATTGGAAGCTTCCCAAAATTGGGGTAATGTCCGTTGAAGGATCTTAAGGGGGGTGTTTACGGATACATCTTGTTTAGGGTTGGGGGTGTTGGGAATTGGGCTTTATAACTTCATGCGCTGGGCTTTCTCAAAAGAGACATCTGTCTTTGCAATTTCTGCAGCAAGGGTCCTCATCTTCTGTCAGACATCAGCTTTTGGACATCCCTTCAGGTCAGAGGCACTTGAAGAGCATAGGCCATAGCTGAGGAACCAGAAGCTCATATAGGCCTACACAGGTGTAAATATATACATATATATATGGTGCTCCCCTTATGAAGCCACAAAGCGTAGGTACGTGGGGGAGGGGGGGTAGTGTAGCATATATATATATATGTATAATGGAACCAAATCTACTAAAAAATGATATATTGGGGGTATACACTAGGTTGTGCAGATGGACTAAGGTTGCGTTTTTGTCCGACGATGCACACGCACTCAGGTTGCGAGACAGATGCTTTTTGATTCGGTGCCACGTGCGCCGATGAAGCAGCTCCTTCTGCATTGAGCTTAGGGTTTAGTTTGTCAAGATCATTGTCCCTTTCTTCGGATCCCTAATGCAGGGGTAAGGGTTTTGGGACCCAAAAAGCATTGGAAGCTTTTCAAAGCAGTCCCTACATGTCAAGGAAATCCCGTGGCCTGTGGGCAATCCATCGTTTCCATTCAGTTTTCCAGTTGATTTGTCATCCGATTTTGGATTTGATTTTCCGTTGGATTTTTTTCCATTACTCTCCCTTGGATCACTATATAGTCACCATATATCCTCATATACCCCAATACACTGTAGTAGTTTTCATCTTCTTTTCCACCCTAAGCCCTAGGCCCTAAACCCTAAACAGTAGTTTCCATTTTTTCCATTACTCCCTATATAACTCTATGTAACCCCTATATGACCCTCATATAACACTTATATAACCCCCATTACTCTACCCTAAACCCTAAACCCTAAACCCTAAACCCTAAACCCTAAACCCTAAACCCTAAACCCTCTACGTAGGATCCCTCAGCCTCCTCTTTCTTAGAATGCCCCAGTCGAAGGAATGCAGCTACATTGCCACAACCATCGACCGCATTTCCAGAGGGTGGCTTGGTCTTAAGCCATGACTCCTGCTGTCTTTTAGGGTCTATGGTTCAGGGTTCTGAAGCGTATTATAACCCCAATATATACCCTATAATAACCCGAATATATACTCTATTATAGTAGTTTCCATTTTATTTTCCATTATCCCAATATATCCCCTATATAACCCCTATATAACCCCTATATAGGGTTTAGGGTTTGGGGTTCTTAAGCGTGATTCCTGTTGTCTTGGTCGAGGGAAGGCAGGGTCTACAAGGGTGGGCCCGTGACATGTGAGCTATAATGGGGTTATATAGGGATATTTATAGGGATATTACCCCCCAATAATGGAGAATCAAATGGAAAAGAAAATGGAAAATGAAATGGAAACTGGGATTATAGGGATTAGGGTTAGATGAGCTGTAGTCTAAACTCCTTAAAGGAGGTTATACAGGGGATTACATAGGGGACGCTATAGGGTTTATCAAGAACATACCAGAAGTTCAGACCATAGCTCATGTAGGGGGAAGACTATGCAGAACCGGGATCTGTAACAGATGTGAGAGATTTTGTATAGACCTCTAACTTGCAACCATCCTGTCTCCAGGGGCCCCAGCCCTTGTAGTAGGGCCTTGCCAAGAAAGTCCGTTGGAGGAGATAAAACAAGATTCCTGCAACACCTGTGCTTCAAAGATGCGTGGAGTAGAGTTCATCTTTTGGGGGGTGCTCTTGAATGTGTTATTGTGTGATCGTAATAACCCTGACAGCTAGATGACAGCTAGACTGAAAATTCTAGTAGTAGCGCGCAAGACAAGGAAGCACCAGCGCGGCCACCACCATCATCATAGTGTCAGGACGTCCGTTAACTGTGAAGCCTAAACCCTGAATGCTGACCATCGCACGGCAGTAAGGACCATGTGATCATGGCAAACTTTAAATGCTCTGGACACTGTAGCCTATCGATGGTTATCATCATGAGTATGTGGAGGGTGTAGGTAACTGCAAAGGTCTAACCCTCAAAGTATGGATTGGCGATGCAATCTCTCCAAGAGATTT